TTTTAAAAAAATTCATTACTCGGGCTAGGGACCTCGAAATTTGATTCTGAGAATACACCCAAGTCCCATATTTTACTACGGACCCTCCGAGACTGTCAAAACGCAAACCCTGGTCTGTTTACTAAAAATGTTGACCAAAGTCAAACTTGGCCTTTTAAGCTAACCTTAAGGAACTAAGTGTTCCGATTTCAATCCAAGCTCTCCCAAATCCCGAACCAACCATCCCCGCAAGTCGTAAATCAGCTAAAGCAAGTACAGGAGGTCTTATTTAGGGGAACGGGGTTTTAGAAAGCAAAACGACCAGTCAGGTCGTTACAAGCTATTTCAAATTTATTATTACACCTATATATATGTATATTTTTATATAAAGTTTTAAAAATTTAATGGTAAATGTTAATAGTTTGCACTTTTAGTGTAGTTCCTTACCTTTACATTCTAATTTGATTGGTACTCCCTCTATTCCAATTTATGTGAACCTATTTCCTTTTTGGTCCGTTCCAAAAAGAATGACCCCTTTCTAAATTTGGTAATAATTTAGCTTAAACTTACAATTCTACCCTTAATTAGAAGCTTTTATAACCACACAAATACTCTGGGCCCCTTTTTGACTTGTTTAGGACCACAAATTTCCAAAAGTCTTCATTTTTTCTTAAACTCCGTCCAGTCAAACAGGTTCACATAAATTGAAACGGAGGGAGTATTTTTCTTTATTTAAGTGTAAGAATCCACTTCGTGTTAAAAATAATATAATTTTAGTTGAGTCCTTAAATTATTCATCACTATTTGATTCAATTATCATCAATATATCTTGATAAATAATAGATTTCTCAAAGGGCAATTGATTTGATAGTGTTACGTTAAAAATGTGGTCTCGGGAATATGTGTTTGGTAGTGTATGTCGTATATTTAAGAAAAAACCGACAAATAACTGAAAAAACCGAAAAACCGAAAAAAAAAAGGCGACATAAATCGAATCGAGAAAAAACCGACTTAATTGGTTTGGTTTGGTTCTAATAATTGAAAAACCGACTTACTTGGTTTGGTTTCTTTTTAGGGAAATACTGATCCAAATCGAACCATGAACACCCTACCAGCAGGTTCGTATGATGATTTTGGACTTGGGCGTATGTCCGGATTAGGTTTTGGATGACCCGAGAGCGTTTCGGCGCCTATTGTGGAAGTTAGCATTTTTGGAAGAATTTCATAAGTTTGGGTTGAAGTGCATTTCGGTGTTATCGATGTCCATTTGGAATTTTGGGTCTAGGAATAGCTCTGTATGGTGATTCTGGTATTGGGGGCACGTCCGGAAGTGGATTTGAAGGTCTGTAGGTCATTTTGTAGTCATTTGGCTAAAGATAGAAATTTGAAGGTTTTGAGAAGTTGGACCGGAAGTGGACTTTTTGATATCAGGGTCAGAATTCGATTTCGAAAGTTGGAGTAGGTCCGTAATGTCGAGTATGACTTGTGTGCAAAATTTGAGGTCAATCGGACGTGATTTGATAGGTTTCGGCATTGAATGTAGAAGTTTGAAGTTCTAAAGTTCATTAAGCTTGAATTGGAGTGTGGTTCATGGTTTTGGCGTTGTTTGATGTGATTTAAAGGCTCGACTAAGTTCCTAATGTGATTTGGGACGTGTTAGTATATTTGATAAAGGTCCCGAGGGCCTCGGGTGAGATCCGGATGGTAAACTAATCGAGTTGGACTTGGAAGAAAGGCTGAGGGTTGCTGTCACCTGGTGTAACCGCACCTGCGAGATTTTAGCCGCAGGTGCAGAGCCGCAGAAGCGGCCATGAGGGTCGCGGATGCGATTTTGGGTGGGGATTGTTGGGACCGCAGATGCGGTCATCTCGCCGTAGAAGCGAGACCGCACCTGTGAAAGGGAAGGCGCAGAAGCGGAAATGGGCTGGGAGCCCTAGACCGCAGAAGCGACATATTGTCCGCACCTGTGGAACCGCAGAAGCGGTCAAGTGACCGCAGGTGCGAAGAATCGCTGGGCAGAGTGTTTATTTTAAAGACGGGATTTGGCCATTTTTCACCCGTTTTCACTTTGGTCGGGCAATTTTGGAGCCTTTGAAGAGGGGGATTTCATCTTTTATTATGAGGTAAGTAATTCCCGCATGAAGTAAGTTAAATATATGATTATATATGGATTTGAACATGGAAATTGTGAGTTTTTTGTAGAAGACCTAGAAATTAGTATTTTTGGATTTTGACCACGAAATTGGACATGGAATTGGGAATGAAATATATATATATATATATATATA